TGAGAAAGTAGAATACTAAGAACATCCGATATAAATTGAAAGTAAAGAAATATGCGTACGATATGTAATTAATGATTAAAATATTCTACAATATGAAAGATATGCATTCATAAAGATAAGATAAGAAATATTAAAATTTGATGTTTTATTATCAAATGTTTTATCATAGTATAGCGTTTGGTGATTGTTGATCATGTACATGTTGGCATCTAATAAATGTTGCATAATTTCAGTAATTTTTACATAACGTACATAACTGTAGACTACATTGTCGTATTGGAAATAAATTTGAATATTTTTTTATTATATGAATGACTTGAATTGTAATGAGTGATAACTTAAAATGTATGAGAGAATTGTACAGAGTGTGTCTGAATAACATGTAAAGCAGATGGGAGATCATTTAATATAAAAAAAATTTTTTTAAATTATAGACTAAGATTTTTTTTGTCTGTCGTTTATTTTTCAACAAAACCGTATATTACAACGTTTATTTTATTCGTAAACAATATCTATTGTTAAGTAAGTACATGATGCCTCCTTAGATAATAACTCTTGTTATTAAATACAGAGAAAAACAAGAGAATATTTTAGCACTTTGGATAAACTGATCGTCATTGTAAAAAAATCTATCTCAGCCATCATGTTCCAAATTGGAATGAAATGACCGATACAAAAGGTCTTTTGAGAATCTATGTTTGTAATTGATACTAAAATATTGTTGATAATATATCTGCTTTATTTTTCATAAATTTAGTAACCCTCATTGTTAAATATCATATAGGTGAGTTTTGTTTATAAACTTAATAGGCGTTATACCTTGGATAGAAAATCGTACATTACAGTTAGTTGTAAAATTAATCATCGGACAAATAAATTTTATATTTTTCCTATTTTTCATAAGGGATCTCCTCTCTTTCTCTCACTTGGCATATCATTTGAACGCACTCCGTATAAATGGCGTTTCGAAATGAGAATTTATGAACAGTTATCCCACATATTTTGTATAATTAAACAGGTATTATATATACCGTCAGTTGCAGCAATCTTGGCACTTTCGTCTGAGTGGTCAGATTCAAAGGCTCACGCCTTCTCCACATGGATTTTCGGTTCTGGTATATGATTCGCTGAGATAATCACGCACACTAATCGGGTCGCACGACAAAGAGCGGGAAGAGCCGTTTCCGGGCGAAGTGAGATAGAAGGAACGATCGCTAAATTATAAAGCATTGGCGTACTTTCAGTTTCTTTATTTCTTACGCTTCAAAACACCACTGACATTGTTCTATGTAATGTCATAATATATTACATATAACAATTAACATGCTACATATAATTCTGTATACCACCAGTTGCACGTAGAAATAAGGATGTTTGTATATTGGCCAATCAAAGAACTCATAAATCTCCTGTAAACACAGTGATCCTACATACTTATTCGACGCTCCTATCCCAATGACGTCACGAGTGTCAAGTTCGCTGCAACGGACGGTAACATTCTTTCGATTTTGTAATAAAATTTACACTTTTCTTTCGGCAAAGTGATTTCTTGACATTTATTACATCGAAAATCCATCTATCTTAATGCGATTTATATGAACAATTTACGCTTTACTTGTTGTGGAGATAATTATTTTATTTACAAATGCATTGAAAGAAATCAAACCATAGTATTATAGTAAAAAGATTACTAGCTTAATAATTACCTTAATATTAGATTCGGAATAAGGTGTCCAGCTAATAAAAAGTATTATACATGAATCAATGTATTTAATAAAATTAAACATTGAGTAGATAATTTCAGTAAATTATTTAATGATATATTAAATAATGTAACACAATAAACAATATAATGCCTCTAACATACATGACAAATTCAAAGTTTCTTCATAATTTGTTTATCTAATTAATTTCAGAATAATTGTTTTCGTGTGACTGTACATGGTGGATTATACATGTGAGATCACACAAACATCTCCAATATTTATGGGGATGTAAGAAAACGTTTTCCGTGTTTTACATAGATATTTATTATTTTCCTGTTTACTTATTTCTTTCCGCATGTGCAGAGTTATCAAAAATATTACAAGTAGCACATTTTTTACACTGTTTCTATCTTTGAGACGATGACATTGATCTCTGTTTGCATAGTTGTCATTTTGTTTGTGAGTTCCACAAAGGATGCCATTTTTGTCGTTCGCCAATATACAGTTACGAAAATAAAGCAGTCTCGATTAGCCATGATATTAGGTTTCCTGCAAGGTCACTTGCGCAAAAACATGACAAAACAACTTAAATAGATATTACAAAATTACTTCCTGCAGTGTCTTTTTATTCGGATGAATGATCATAATTTTACCATCGCTCCAAATATAAAATGCACATACCAAGTTCCATAAGGAATCAGGATTTCTTGGAATGTTTATTGTTCGCTGAATATTTTTAATTATTTAAAAGTACGTACTGACTTATGGGTTGAAAAATGTGGAAAAATAATCTTGCACATTTTTAGACAATAACATAATTTGATACATTGGAATCGATAACACTTGCTAAACTTGTTAGATAACATTTTTTGATAATTATCAGTAAACTTCAATAATAATAAATAAATAGATTTTATATATTTATAATTCAACCCTAATGGGACATTTAATAGGCATAAGTTTTTATTTAATCCAATTATTTGTAAATTAATGTGTAAGAATTTATATTTACATAACAATTCACAGTTTAATAATTATATAAAACTAATGTTATACAATTTTTTTCATGAGAGAATGAGAGGTTTACTTTTTCAGCTGGTTTAAACATTCTACCAAACAGACTATTTATATTTGTATTGATAATCTTTCTAAACATTTAGTTAAACATTTTAGGCTTAATTTTCAAATCTACAGCAATATTTTATAAATTTTTTGTTCAAGTAATTACAAAATAATTGTATATTATGTCACTTACAAATGATGCAATCCATCTTTTAAGCACGAGGAAGGGTTATGAAATAGAAGTGAATAGTGAATATCTCTCCTCTACACATAGAGTATCCTGCTGAATTTAACACTATTTTTAAAAATAGGAGAAGTGGCCGGAAGTTTTCAACGGGCAGTGTATGTTACATGAAAAAGTGGAATGAATTGGATGCATTTTTCAAGCTCAAGAATTACTAACAGTTCCTTTAATTGGTTCTGATGGATTAACATTAATTCATTTTATACGTCACAATTTATACATTACAAGAAGTTTGAAAATACATTAAGATTTATAATTTACAATACACAACACACTCTCACGCATGCAGGAGGTTGCAATCTACATTTTAGGACAGATGAGTTACTACTTTACTTTTACTTAAGAAGTAATTTAGTTCTTAAAAATCTGAATTTGTATAAACATATGGCACTAATAATACGCATAGGTATACCGTTTCATGAAAATGTGTAACGAAAACGATAAGATATGGATCAAGGGGTTCATTTAAAGGATTTATATGTTCTATATATATGAACATCATTCCAGTAACACGCTCTTTTATAAATTGAAAATTAAATAACAATTCATTAATTGATTTAATAGTTCAATTGTCCGTCTACAGAACGCGGTGTATCATAGAATGACTCGAATTAAATTCATAGAGCTATTAGATTTTATCTCGAAGATTATGCGTACATATAACGACCGTATGGACAGGAAACGCTCGAGGTTACATTATTTCACATGTTCCTTGTCACGAGGAATATATGTATGTATAAGCGTAACGAACACCACGGTTTACTGCAAATTGAATTTCACGCATCTGAAGGACGATGAATGTTTGCAGAAAAATTTTATCGAATATTTTACTGTTTGAAGTTATGTATCTAGAGGTTTTGTATTTCACCTTTAAAAGTAGAAATTTAACAAACTAAAAAGTTCTTAACCATATATTTTAAATTGAAATATAAATACTTAAATATACTGATTTTGCTGTATTTGCCTGAGTTTTAATTTATACATTCGTTTTATACATTCGTGACTCATGAAAATGTGCAAAATGTAATAGTAGTTTGTTAATTTAATGTGTTCACTAATGGATCGACTGTTTATTGTGAGTTAGTGTAAAATAGTCTATTTGATTTTCAGTAATGAATGAATTTTAATCAAATATTAGATTGGAGTATTTGAATATAATTATATAGGTATTACATATTTTTTTATTCAGGATCAAGTCAGTCTTTGTATACTTTAAATCTAGTTACAAATACATATAAACAGATCATCTACAATATCAGAAACAATTAGAAAACTACATAAGAATATACATATAAATGAAAAGAAAAGTACGTATAAATTCATAAGTACATTTTATTTTATATATATTATTTATATGTTACTTAATTTAATAAATTTTCATTTAATTTAATAAACTTTTTAATTGTCCTAATGCATTTTTTGCTTGAACTCTCGGATATCCACCGTGACTCTTAATAGAATGTTTATTGTACGCAGATTTCAAAAAGGAATTATACATTCAATTTTATACCTAGCTTTAACACTAAATTTACAAACGTTTATTGTACGATTTATGCTGTTGTTTCTACAAAGGTTGATGTTTGCTCGTTCAAATCTTGAAAATTGGGGATATAAAAGTAGACTATTAGGATACATATTCATGTAACTGCATCGATCAAAACCGGCATAAACGTTTACCAAGTACTATTTATAAAATTCAATATGCGCCAAATTGGCGCATTCTGTAAACCTAGTATTAACTGCATATATTGCAATTAAGCAAATATGTAATTGGGTAAGTACATTAGTAAGTAAGAAAATATATAAATACAGTACAGGCTATTGATAAATCAAAATGACCCTTTATGTGTCATACGAAAGTTAATACAGGTTTTTGTCAATTAATTTATACACGTTACATGTTCTAGTCAAATGAAGCTAACGTGTGAGAACAACTTTTTGAGGAAAACACATATAAAATTACGGACACCGTAGCGGTATTGTTTCATTTAACTGGGAATTACAAAGCTAGCATAACTGTTGTAGCAAACTAGGGCTACCCTCATTGCAAAGAGCATACATTTGCCTATAAAAACACACGAAAAACATCATTAGTTATTTCGCACTTTAACGTCAACTTACCGGAGCACGTCATAAATATACAAGACAAATATTTACGACATTAACAAATTAATACGTATAAATAACAAAATTAACAATTTCATATTTTTAATTAAAATTTCTTTCTCTAAGTGCGTGTATAAACAAATATTCACGATAATGCTCTTAATATCAATTTTACGCACTTATTACTAATATCCTTTTTCATTCGTTGGATTCTTCAAATAAAAAGTCGAGTTTCAAATTCAATTATCTTCATGTTAATAAGAAGAAAATTTTATTAGTACTTTGTCTATAGATTTAATAAATTTAATTTCAAAAGCGGTTATCTTTTCGATTGAATAATTTACCTATTATTATCTGGAAGTCTAATGAATATCGAGATCGTTGTTCGATGTTAAAAGCCCATAAATTGCATTCAACCGTAACCAATCTGTTTGCTGGAATCATTGAAAAAGCAGTGCATGTAGTAATTATATTATAGGATTGTACGTATATTTTATTTTTAAGAAAACGTAAAAAATCCAAGAAGTTTTTATAAACTACATGAATTTGGTAGAGCCATAATTTTTTAAAGTCAATATTTTAGTAATACCATTGCTATATTATTTATAGATAGAAAAATATGCAATCACATATATCGCACAAATATATTAGATAATTAATTTTCTTTAAAATAAAATATATAATTCTTTGATTCCAATTGGACATAGGTATGTTTATAATTATAATACTGTTATTGAGCACATTTACTTTTTTATATATTAATGATTTAACATTCGTTACAATTATTACAACAATAAATAATGATGATCTCTGTAAAATAATATTTAATATATACCCAAGTCAAATATACATACAGACAAAAAGATTAATATTTATAAGTAATATACAAATAATGATAAAATTGAATTTATATTAGTTGCTTTACACTTTTCAGAGAATATTAAAAAATCTTCAAGAGAAACTTTTTTCACTAAATCAAACTAGATATTAATTTAGAGATCATGCTGCTTTTATTTCTCTAAGATCTGAACTTTATGAAAATGATTCTACTATGAGTTACAAATACTGTTTAGAGTTACTTCAATTTTGCCATACGTGTTAAATTTTTGAAATGTAACGCAACAATGGGAGAAAGATAGTTTGAATGGCCGGTAAATGGGAAATATTGAATTGGAAATCCTGGCCCTGGAATATATTGTATTTCTCCAATATGCTCTTTGTCGACGTTGTTTGCTCCATCGCACGATAACCAAATGTAAAACTGCAATGCAATTATATTAATTAACATGTAGGGTAATGAAACCTAATATGGAACATCTAACTTGGAAAGTTTGCCAAAACGGCCAAACCACGGTAAAAAATGTTAATAAAGTCAAAAATAGAAAAAAATTTTTATTACTAGAAATTAATATTTATGGAACTCAAAAGGATGAATAAACGAATTTTTCACTTTTTTGAACTTATCTTATGTTAATTTTATTCTTTTTTTCCTTTTATACATTGGATATATGAATAACCTATTGAGACCACTACATTCTTCGTAAACACAATGCATTGAACATATTTTTTTCCGTTATTATCATTTTTGTAATTGCCATTATAAAACAAAACTATAACATAATAATATGTAACATTAACAAAGAATGTGCACCCAATATGGAACGTGTTCTACATTAGAAACCAACATATTCCAATCGAAAAATAATAACCATTCTAAGAAGAAAATGATTTTGCATCAAATTGTTTTTGAATAGTGAAAAGTAAACATGTTCAATGATAATTTATGAAGAAACAAAATTTGTTGGCTTATCCATATTAAAAAATTTGACTATTTAACTCGTCTTTCAGAAAATTTAACGTACTTCCAAACACAATAATGCTTCGCATTCAATGACAAATTCTTAATTGATGTTAACCAATAATATGATTGTTGTCTGTTACCAAAGAAGAGTTATCCATAGTGACTGACGCGTCAAGTTATTTATTTTTTGTAATATTTTGATGTTCCATATTAGGCGCCGTTACCCTATACGTTATCCATATACGCCATAATTTTTCTATATCGAACATATTATTAATATAATTTCGGTGCTGAGTAACCTAATATTTTATTATTAAGAAATAAAACGCTTCCAAACTTGTAGGTACGTATGTTAATTATAAATGTTAATTACAAATAATAATAAATAATAAATGTGCAAACGAACCTTCTTCGATTTTTGTATTGCTTTCTTCAAGTTCTTTGGTATATTTTCCGGCAACCTTGAGGTTTGATTATAATAATTAGGTACCCAATCAAACCGCTACGACATACAAAATCACAAATTCACTAAGTTATATCAAATTATATCTATACTATAGCACAACTATTTTTTGAAATTACTTTGTTAAATTTAATAAGGACACAAGGTTGCAAAGGGTTCGAATATCCGTAAGGATACTCGCTACATACTCCGAGGTTTTTTACGTTAAAAAAGCACGGCTTCTGAGTACGATTCCATCGAAAATTATCTTGGCAACTAACATCATATTTCGATGCATTCGTATTGTACTCTAAAATTAAAAATTAATCTAATACTATACGATTTGTATATTTATATCTATTGTAAACTTGTAAGTAAACGCAAATGAAATATATAGTATAGAGTAAAAGTAAGCATAAAGAATAGTTTTGAAATAATTAATTAAATTATTTTAATTTTTACTGAATTTATTACATTTTAAGCACGATAGCCGTGTACAGTTTCTTCTGAAACTATGTACATTTCATCGTTATTGATATACTAATAAAGTTAGTGTAATTGCGTTAAAAGTATTTAAAATAGTATTTGAAGAATGAAATCAATTAATTTTCTTAAAAATCATATTTATGATATTAAAACGATAAAACGGAAGATCAGTGATTTAATGCAACTAAATGAATTCTAACTAAATGCTATATAATTATGAGTTGTATTTCACGGTGAATATAATTCGACATAAATTTTAATAGCATTATTTTTTATGCATATACCTAGATTAATCCTTTAATTGATCCTCATTTCTATAAGAAACAATTACATCAAAATAGTGTTTGTTTGTTTACAACTTCCTTGTATTTATTGCACACACATAAATATAGTATTTAGCTGCTGCATATTTTTCATAAAAATGAAAAAAAAATATTGTTTGTTATGACAATCTAAGACGAAGACAACCATAAAAAATAATGATTTCAATTCTATCATCAAATTATTGACAAAGTATTGTAGGATAAAGTAGGATATCCTTAAACGGATATCTCTCTACTTATAAACGATGTTGTATGGCATATATTTGTTCTACTTTTTTTCTATACGTGGATTGTTGCAGAAGTTTCGGAAAATAATGAGAAAAATCGCAAATAAGTTTGAATTAATGGTGTTATTGTTTGTCAATATATTCTCCTTCAGCATCAATACATTTTCCATTGTGTTATATCAGCATTTTCTAAACTTAAAAATATGAACCTTTACGAAAATAACAAACAGCATTAGAAATGGCGGATTCCTGAAACTTTTGCAGCGACCTACGTATTAATATAGGTACCGAACTTTTCTATCTGTGCTGCATATCATTTTTCATAAAACAATCGTATTAGACGAAGTAGAATAATTTTGATAATCCAACTGTGCATAATGAAATAAAAAAATGAAAGTTTTTTATATTATTTGTAGATAAAGAAAAACGTGCAAAAGAAAATAAACGCTTTGTTGAGATTTGATTAAATGAATATTTATAAGATTAATATGAATATGCTGAGTACCTTGAAGAAAGTCGGTCAAGGCTCGAATGTATCTCTTTGGTCTGGCTTTGCTGTTTGAGTGGCTCACTGAGATAATGGGAGAAGCTGCCGAAATGCTACTTGGTTTAAAAGAAATACCTCCAAAGGAATTTTCTCAATATATTATTTCGTATATCACTGTATTTGCAATTAACCTGTTTAACCCCTTGCTTTATGATTTATTTCTCAACTTCTCTCGATACAACTACTTTTCCATTAATAATTCACCGAAGAAAGGGATAACAGAAGCATACTATTGCATTTGAATTCAAAAGAATTGAATAATATATATGTTTGTTAAATTTTGTTTAAAACCTTCCCTACGAGTTTGATGCGTTATCATAAGACAAGAGGTTAAAAACGTTCATTACGACATGGCAAACATTTAGTATAGTTTAAAGGCACTTTTCAGAATGATTACATAACTAAGTCTTTAATTTTCTAATAATGACATCTGCTTACCTGGACTGCCAAATTTTAAAGGCGCACGGAAAAGTGGAAAATTTGGTAGCCCGGACTGTTTAGATGCAACAAAGTATTGAAAATGCGGTTTATCTAATTTAGATGCGTAATCTATACTGATCTTCATTTGTATCGCAAATATTGTTCCCAACACAGTGAAGAAACACAAGTAAAATAACAATAATTGTCCTGAAATATAAAATATCATTTTATATCGGCAATAAAGTATGCAGAGTGAAAAGAAATGATTGTACTTCCTCGTCATAACATGATTCTACACCTTTAATTTAATGAAGATTGAAGTAAAGAAGCTGCCACTAAATCTCATCGCGGAGGCAAATAGTCTCAAAGGTGCCACGGGTCAAAAACGAGTAATTTTCTTGTAAATCGCTATTGAACTTTGCGTGACAAAGTAAAGGAACGCTATATCGGTTGTCCTGTTCTGATACACTCCGTCCTTAAACCAGTTAACTGCATTTGACGAGTATATGCTTCATTTTAACACGTTAGTTCTTTCAACGATGAATTATTATTTTAATTATTCATTTTCTCAGATAAATATGTAAACACTTATTTGCTTCACTTTGGTTTTTCATTAAAATATACCCCAGGTGTATTCGTCTTGCGTTTAACAAGTACACGCTTCATTTTCTAATTTTATTGCGCACAGAACGATAGATTTTTCAAACTAAATTCCACAGTTAGCAACTTAAATCTTTGTATTCCTTTACTCTTTCATATAAAATTCAATAGCGATTTACAATAAAACTATTCATTTTTGACCCATTGTTCTTTTGAAACTATTTACCTCCGCGATGAGTAGAATAGGATGGTGCAATATAAAATTGTAACTCTTTTTTTCAAAGAGAATTTTGCGACAACTTCTTTACCTCAATCTCCAATAAACCGAAGGTGTAGAATCACGCTACGACAAAGAAATATAATCGTTCCTTTCCACCCTGTATATGTATACTTCAGTATTGACAAATGAATATTTAATGTTTGAATAAATGCAATTTCGAGTGAGCATAGAAATTTAAAAACATACTGAACTTGTACAGCAACCAATGCGTTTAACACATAATAATCCTAACATATATTTTGTATCACTTATAACAGATAATATAGAAACATATATTACTTAAACCTTAGATAATAATTCCACGTATTAATCGAAAGATTTATAGGCATTATAAAAATTGTATTGCATTAAATATTGTTTAAATTTTATATGTATAAAATGTAAAATGAAAATAGAATTTTGGCAACTTTAATGTTTTTAATGTAGATGTAATTATTTAAATTTAAATTCAGTAAATTATATAAATAAAATTAATATAATAAATTATTTAAAATACTGTTATTACTTAGTAGCTATTTCTCATATTTTTCATGCTACTTAAACGTTGTGTAAACAGAATATTTCAATAACATGAAATGTGAAATTATTAAAAGGAATAAAATATGATAATTATGATAACTATTATTTATATTACCCCATTCTTTTGCTGTTCTATCGAGAAATGCTTTTCTTTCTTTGTTCCAGATAAATCGCAAGAAATTTTGGAAAGCACCTAAGTCGGGTTGAGGCTTTCGATTCTCGTAATATTGCTGGTCGTGCAATATAACCATATTAAGAATTAATCTTATGAATCGAAGCACCAAAAAGCACCAATCTGAAAAAGGTTAATATTTCAAACTTAGATTCTTTTGCTTTGAAGTCAGTTCTTTTTCATTTTTACTGTGTCATAATGATATAGAAAAAATTATATACATACCTTAAACAATTTTCTTAGTAATTAACCATGCTTGTCCTTATTAAATAGTTACTGCATTTTGAATTAAAGTTAAACTTATTAATTTTTATCGATAAAAATTATTAGTAAATTATTTAATCAATTCGCCTGTCCATTGTGTTGATTCTTCGGATAGACACTTCGTCTTTGTTATAAAATTACATTCTTTATTCGTCATTATTAAAAGTATTAAGTATTCAGCAGATGTATTTTTATAGGTAATTTTATATTTTACATTTTACATTTTACATTTTACATTTTACATTTTACATTTTACATTTTACATTTTACATTTTACATTTTACATTTTACATTTTACATTTTACATTTTACATTTTACATTTTACATTTTACATTTTACATTTTACATTTTACATTATTTTATATTTTTGGCAGAGGTTGAGAATCAAGCAATCCGCATTATCCTCGATTTTCCTTCATCAATGGTAACACCGAGATTATGATAACAAATTTATGATTATGAGAAGCGTTCAAAGTTTCTTAGTGTAAGCTGTGTCCATTAGAAATTGTTTCTCGGCATTTCGCTAGCTTGCAGCTGGCATCATCAGGGGAGTTGAGGGCAGTATCAGTGAGTCCTCATGATGACAGCTACAATGCTAGCAAAACGTCGGGAAACAATTCCTAATGGACACGGCTTATACCCGGAAACTGAACACTTCTTATAGTGTTCCTAACCGTGATAGCCTCAAATAAATTTATGATTGTTTACTGTAATTATTAGAATAAATGTAAGACAAAATATTTCTGTAATTTGTTATATTTTGCATAAAACCTCAAATATGACGGTGTTATAGCACGTAGTTTCTTGATCATCAATCTTGATTTTGAACGTATACGTGATTTATTGCATTACGTACAGAATTTTCCTACAAACTTTTTTCCTTTTTGTGGAAGCTGTATGCTGCACAAAGGAAGCTCCTTCGTATATACAAAAATCCTAACTAAGTGGTCCACCGGCTGGATAATCTAGTCTGCGCACATACGCATCCACCACCATTTTCAGTCCAATTTTTTGGTATATAAAGGCCACCGACTTGATTATTATTGAATCCACTTTTTCTGCTACCTCTTGATTCATGCATGGTGTGTCAACCTAATGCCTAGCCCACAGATAGGAATATCACTTATATTCTGTTTCAGGATTTTACGGGATCATACCCGAAGCAATCCTCCACCCTATTCTTCAGATTACCACCGATCAGGTTCCGCCTGATAAAAAAAAATCATAATTGGGTCCATTTCGAATTACACAAGACAAGAAATACATAGTGAGATCGGGTTTTTAGTTCCTTTCAAATATTAACCTAACAATACGTATAATTACTACTGGAACCATTCTCGCATTTTGCAGTGCGTTGAAAACCGAGAGAACGTGATTTAGAGTCAGCGACACAATACACATTAACAATTGTACTATATAACTTTCATTGAGAGTATATTTAAATAGTTTCCTCTATTTTGAATTCAACTTTATTTGGTGATCACATCCTTTGAAATTGCCGTATTAGTACATTCCAACAACAGTACACTTTTGTCGCTCGAAGTGTACCTCATTCTTTTTTAAAGAGATACAAGACAAAAAAATATTTATAACTGTTACAGATCTATCAGTTTTGGTTTTGGTTGTTTGAAATCGACACAATGTTCGTTCGGTTCATATTTCTATAAATAATGTCTACACCAGGTATAGTTTAATTTTCTGTAGTAATATCCAACAGAAAACCTGAACATATCAATTACGGAACCTATACAGAATATGTACATATTACTTCTCAAGAAAGTTTGAAACAGTTATTTCTGACACGCTTTTTTGGCATAGATCTTTATTTGTAATATATTTTTTACGTAGACACAAAAATAGAATTACATCAATAAAATAGATAATATATAATTAATGAAGGTATATTTTGTACAAAAATATTTTTGATAATAATATTGTATATATTAAATAATTATAGTTTATTATTTCTTCATGTATACTGTTTACTCTAGTATGTTTTATAATCCACTTTGCAACGAGTAGTCAGTTTCCTTGTTTTCTTGTTCATTATAATCCATTTTTCTAATAGCACTTATTTTGATTGGAATTTACTGAAGATTGTTTTAAATAATATGGGAAGTGTAAGGGTTGGAGAGTAATTTCATTTTTAAATATTATATCTTCTTCATACCAATGCTTGATCATCTAATTTGGACAAATTTTTTCACTAAATAAAATTTATTCTGCTAATTTACTGTTTTCTATTAACACAATAATGAATAAATAATTTGTGTCAAAAGACATTCGTAACCGTCATTTCCCTTTTCCATGACTATAAAGTACATGATCTGGAGCGCATACTGAATATCGCTAACAACGAATAAAAATTTAAATAAATCTTCTTCTTTTACATGATTATTTCTTTATCCTTTCTTAATATTTTTAATGTATATTGAAACTTCATTTATTAGATCAGTATTTTATCAGACTATTGTTAGTTATCATGTGTTCCGTTATTTATTAGTCGCGTTAATTAGTTAGCTTTTATTTAATTCTTAGGACACATCTGTATAACAAATAAAACTAGCCCGCGATTTCATACTGAAAAATCAAAAACTCGCCCGCGCTTAGAGGGTTAAGCCTGCGAGTACTTAAGTACATATATACATGGTAACATCTAATGCCTTAAGGCTTTCACACGCTTGCGGAAGATCGGGTGGCTTGCGCTTCGAGTCGCTCAAAATGCTTGAAATATTCGAACACGTCCAAATTTTTCAATCCTTTCAAGCCTGCAAGGCGCACTATCTACGTTCTCCCCTTCCCAGAAGTCTCAAACACCGCAGGCTACCAGCAACCTCTTAGGCAGCTCAGTACTTCCAGTGTTCATGCAAAGTATGTAATGGCATTCGCGAGTGAATGTATCACTAATTTCATATAGTCCCTACAGTACATTACTGTTCAGGAGTTAAAAGTTTATAAGTCAATTCAAATAAAATAAACCACTTTAAGTCATAAATGCATATATATTAGAACAAGACATTAAAAAAAAGTTACAATTAACAATTTATAACCATATATCCATGCAGAAATACAAAGCAATGGGAGTGTAAATTTTATGAACATAACGCAATTGACTTTATACATTTGAGCCGTTCATTTTGACAGTGGCTTAAGTCCATTTTTAAAAAAAACCAAGTTAATCTTTATAATAGTTTCAGTTCTACATAATCTTTTTATTCTTTAATAGTTCCTTAATCTTTTTTAAGTGAACTTAAATCACTTTCAAAATAAACGGTTCATTTTTCTACTAGAGTTTAGAGCAAATTATGTATTACAGCTTCAGGATACAACTAATATAGTAATCAATTATAATTATAAACAATTAAATCTTTCTTTCTATATCAAAGATTTGGAACTGAAATGTTCTCTCAGTAGTGAAAGGATAATAAAAATTAAAATAAATTATTGTAGATTTAAAATAAGAAAAAAATTTAGTTAACTAAATATCATATTTTTATACATTTTTTGAAAAGTGAGGATACATTATCTTACTTATACTTCTGGATTTTACTCATTTGCAATGCACAAATGAAAAAATATATTCGGAACTAAGGAGAAAGGAATTCTAAATGTAATATTACTTGGAACTAATTTTAAGTAAAGCAAAATTAATATGTATTCATAGAAATCACAATATTGAATTGCAATTCTCTCTTCAGTTTGTTTAATCCATAATGCCACAATAGACTCAAAGAAATACATCCAATAAAAATATTTCAGATCTTTTTTAATAATATGACTATATTCTTATTACAGGATAGTTCTATGTTGTATGCATGCATACAATTCATAATTTACTCGTAATTTAAGTTAATTACATTTCCACATAAAACTTTTACTTTAGAACTATTAAATTGATATATATCTGGTAATATAGATATTTATTTTAGATTTCCACTATGATATAAATTATAATA